TGTTTTATACATTACAAAATATATTTTGTAGGACTTATTTTAGGAAAAGAATTTGTCTTCAAGTGTAAATATTTGGAAAAAATACGTTCATTTAAATGTAAATAACTGCTTTTTAACTTCAGGTATATAAGTTTAATTCATTGTTTCACAACACACTTATTGATTCATACATGATTCATTTTATTTAGTGAAATAGTGAAATAAATTCTACACTCTCATTATTCTTGGTGGCATTTTTTTTCCACTACACAAAAGGTGTGGTCTCCATCTATTTCACTTTTACGGTGATTAATTATTCTTTCAGTAAGCTTGTCTCAGTCACCCAGAAATTTATAAACAAACAGTGCTCGTGCAAGGGTGAAAAAGACTGGCAGCCTGTTAAGCTTTTTTTTGAAGAACATAATGCAGTGAACTAGACAGAGCCACATGTTGACAGCTTTAATGTTTACCCTTTCCCAAAACACAAGAGAGCAGGCAAGGGTGGGATTTGCTTCAATATGCCAGGACGGTTCAGAAGAAGAAATCATCCCTAACCATCCTGTTTCTGGTTTTTTGTTGTTGTTGTTGTTTTGGGGGTGTTTTTTGGTACCGGGGATCAAACTCGGGTCCTTGCGCTTGCAAGGCAGGCCACCGAACCACTGAGCTAAATCCCCGGCCCCCCTGTTTCTGTTTTTGACACAGTCTTGTTACCAAAGAGACAAAAGGAGTAGGAAGAAGGCAGTGACACTGTAGAAAAGACAAAAGGATGTGGGATTCTGTGATACCCCTAGAGCACGGATGGAGAACCTAGGGCACGCGTGCCACAGCCAGCTGCTGTTTATCACTGAAAGCTCCAAAAGGTTCGCCATCACCACCACCCTGGAGGAACTACTCAGAGATAAACAAAGGACCCCCCCAGCTCGAGCCCAGAGCTAGGTGTGGGCACGGCCACCAGCTTCCAGCTGGTCAGAGGGTCACCTAAAAACCCAGCCAGTATTGGGTCCATAGACAGTAACTGTAATTGGCTTAGCCAGATAAGTGCTCTCGATTTCAACAGAGCTAATATATGAATTAAAAGTATATCATTTACCAATAACTTCTCTCCCAAACAGGTATAAAACTGAACTAATAATACTTGCAACTTTTTGTTTGTTTGTTTTGTTTTGTTTTGGTACCAGGGATTGAACTCAGGTCCTTGTGCTTGCAAGGCAGGCCACCGAACCACTGAGCTAAATCCCCGGCCCCAATACTTGCAACTCTTGATTTAAATTTCAAATTATTCCCTAAACGTTTGTGAAATAAAAACCTGCTTGCGGGGAAATAAAAGCACATTAAATAGAAATTAAAATCTCATCTATAACGGAAATTCATTTTAAACCTGAATGTTTCTGCCAGACACGGAACCCCGTCGACATGGCCGAGCCATTTATTCGGTCCGGCTGGCTGGGTCACTTGGGCACAAGAGGAGCGGAAGTAATGAACGATGATCATTTCCTTGATACTCACGGCCTTGCCTGAAATGGCTCCTGCAATCACTTGCTCATTTTATGCCTGAGACACTCAGCCCTTTATAGTCCAGCTTGAACCCGCAAGTGTTTCAGAACGAGCCCAACCGTTATGATGGGGAGTCACAAGAGAAAAAGAATTTAAAAGGCACGGAAAGGTGAGAGGTCTTGGACATGTGGATTATGCTCACACAGAGGCCAATTAAAAAGTCTTCTCCAAAGGGCCGGGGATTTAGCGCAGTGGTTCGGTGGCCTGCCTCGCAAGCGTAAGGACCCGACTTCAATTCCCGGTACCCACCCAAAAAATAAATAAATACAAAGGCGTCTCCCGGCAAACAGAAGCTGTTTACTTAAGCCTGTATTTCACCACCACACATAAGCACAGAGCGTTCACAGCGCTAACATCTTCCAGGTAACTCTTTGAAAGTGCACCTTTTACCAATCGCAGGCGGAAAATGTGCATCCTTTCCCTAGCTAAAGCAGTTCAGGCAAAAAGAAATGAAGAATCAGGACACGGAGCCAAGTAAATGATGACAACAATCCTGCAGCTAACCTCGGAAGACAGAACTTTGAAAGGAAGTCAAGTTCAATATTTACATACTTGGGGGAAGAGTTTTATTTCAGAAAAAATATCTGGCACCGTGTCTGTTCAGTCACATTAAGAACATTGTAAAACCACCACTAAAACAAACCAGACTCAAATTCAACACAATGCCATGTGTTTCCAACCTGTAATCAACACCACGAAAGAGCTCCCCTTGGTTATGAAAATCCTGGAAAGAAATCATAATTACCCCCTCTGGGAATACGGCCAGTAGAACACGAGCACTTTTAAACAGAATAGCCAGTTTCCACTCCCACCTTCCCCATGGATTTTCAGATTCTTAAACTGAAAAAAGTAAATACATACTTTCATGGAACAAGGTTTAAATAGGAAATAAAAAATGGTTACCCTGGGCAGAAGGAAATGGCAAGACACAGGCAGATAGGAGTCTAGAGGACCCGCGTAGTAGTTGTAGTCTAGGATTATATCTCGTATTGTGTACTGGAAATTTGGTAAGATTTTTGTTCTCTTAATGCCAAAAAGGGGAGCAGGAAGGTAGGTAACTCTTCAGTCTATGTGGTGGTGACGATAGCTATGTCAGTTCACTTATTACGTACGTCAAAACCTCATAGGCAGGGCTGGGGATTTAGCTCAGCAGTTCGGTGGCCTGCCTTGCAAACACAAGGACCCGAGTTCAATCCCCGGTACCAAAAAACAAAAACAAAAACAAAACCTCATAGGCAGACGTGGTGGCACACACCTGTAATCCCAGCACTCAGGAAGCTGAGGCAGGAGGATCACTGTGAGTTCAAGACTAGCCTGGGCTACATAGTGAGTTCCAGGTCAGTCTAAACTATATAGTGAGACCCTGTCTGAAAAAATCCCACCAAAAAAGTCATATTATACGTGTTAAGTATACACAATTTTTTTAAAAAAATTTAAATCAAGTTAACTTTTAAAATATAGTATTGCATATTAATTAATTTTAATTAGTCGTTTTACTAAGTGAGATAGGTGCCAGCTACACAGAACATGGGGGAAACACTTTTTGGGGGGTAAACTTTAAAAGTGTGCCACTTGGCCCGGCAAGTCCATTCCTGAGCATTTGCTCAAGAAATATGAAAACATGTCCACCCACAAATTTCAGCAAGAATGCCACAGCTTCATTCACAACTGTTAAAACTATAGACAATCCAATGGCCATAACAGCAGAAGCGACAGAATTATAGATACAATAAAATACCACTCAGCAGTGAGAAGAAATGAATTACTGAAAAGCTACAGCATGAATGAAGTCTGCGGAAATGATTCGAAGCTACGGAATCTGGACCCAACAGTGTACGATCTATGGGATGCCACGCCTTTAAACTCCTGAAAATGCAACATTAAGCTATGATTAAAACAACCAGAACAGCTGTGGGCTCAGGTGAGGGGCAGGCAGCACCGGGAAGCAGACGGGAGGGAGCGCTCTAGGGTGCCGTAGATGTTCCACATCCGGTCTTGATACAGCTGGGGCTTACACGGCAGTACCCATAGGTCAAAGCAGTACAGTAAGGAAAGTTCATCTCTACATATGCATCTTTGCCTCAAAATTAAAAAAAGAGGGGGATGCTGAAAAAATCCCATGTAGGAGACAGACGTGGACAGAGGTAGGTGAGAAGCAGTGGTGCCAAACTCCGGGTCAGTTAAAGATGAGTGACTGGTGTAGTCTTTTAGCGTGATAATGTGCGTGTTTTATCAGTACATGTCTGCAGCACGTAATAATCACAAGTTCAGCATACGTCTAAATTCTTTTTGTCCCCTTCTGCTCCCATCCCTTCCCTTTCTATCTCTGGGTCATCTGCAGTTTCTAAAATACCAAGTTTAAAAAAAAAACATATATATATAGAGAGAGAGTGAGAGAGAGAGAGTGAGAGAAAGAGAGAGAGAGAGAGAGAGAATTTTTCATACCACAAAATTAAAACATACTCTTCAAGACTTTCTCTGCATGCAAAAGTTGTCTCTAAAGATCCACAGATAACCTGTGTCTGGGCTGCACACGGAGGACTTTCAATGTAGCTTGTGTAAAGGAGTGAATAGGACACAGTGGTCTCTGCCACCTCCAGTCCCCAGGTCATCCTTCTCCAGCCCCACACCGTTCTTTGGTCGTAGGTGTTGCTACAGATGGAGAAATTAGAGCACCTGCCACCACTGGAGGAAACAACAGATCTGACGGACTTTAACCTCAGTGTCTCTCTTCTCACTCATGTGGGAGGGCACTGTTTTTGTAAGTCAATGAGGAAATGCAAACGTACTCTTTTTAAATCCCAAGTTTTGTTTGTTTGTTTGTTTGTGTTTTTGAGACAGGGTCTCACTATGTAGTTGAGACTGACCTGGAACTCACTATGTAGCCCAGGCTGGTCTTGAGCCTCACAGTGATCCTCCTGCCTCAGCCTCCCAATTGCTGGGATTACAGGCCTGCGCCACCACGCCTGGCATCCCAGCTTTTTAAGTTTCACATTCAAGTTTTTGAAACCTCAGTTTCTTATTTCTCCGCAATACTGAGACACAAAGGTTTAGACACACAGCACAACCCAGCCGATTTCTCTGCTATGCACACAAACGCTGTCTTGCACCAGGCACTGAATGTGTCTTAGTTTTCCAAATCATTCGTGAGAAAGCTCTACCACGTTCACAGTACACTTCCCAAGACCCAGAAGCACCAGACAGGGGTGAAAAAGAAACTCTGACTCAAGGTCAGCTCTTTAAAGGTGTAACAGTTAATGCCCTCCTGGGTCACCTAACATTCCGAGTGCACTTCGGAAAGGAACGTTCGGGACAACCCGAGTTTCATCATCAGTTAGCTCTGCGGACAGCAGAAGATAAACGTGGAAAGTAGCTAATAATAAAGATCCAAAATTGACAGACTTATTACCTACATTCTCATCTTTCTGCATAACTCTTCTGCATCTTTAAAATAACCCGCTGCTCACCTCCCACGATGTTTAACAGCAAATACTCAGCACGTGAAACAGTCATTGACCCTGGTAAGGTGCTGCTTCTTCGCCCATTCATTCACGGTGTCCACACACACACACACACACACACACACACACACACACACACACACGAGCGCTCTTCAACAGAAACATCCAAGCGAACAGAACAAAGTCCCAGAGCTTTGGGCTAGCAAGAGACAGACGGACACCTCGTGCTGAGCACAGGAGGGGCAGGGAGGAGCCCACGCCAGGGGGAGAGGCAGAAGAATTTGCAGGTCACCACCTGTTACACCCGACGGGACAGCCTTCTCCGGCCTGAGCAATCCAGGGAGAGGAAACAGCCCTATGTCCCCGTGCAGACCGTGACACAGGGACCAGCGTGGCGGGGGGGCAGGGGTCACGGCTGGAGGTGCTGGGGAGGGCGTCCAAGAGCCTGAGCTCTCTGGGCCTTTTTCAGCATCCGAGCAAATATCAGGAGGGAGAAGCCACAGGAGGATGGGGCAGAAATGACCCCACTAAGCTGGTGAAGACGACTAGCTGTGTGGGGGGATAGACCACGCCTGGAACAAGACAACCAGCTTCGTGTGGAGACCACAGCGCTTCCGGAGGACTGGGCAGCATCCTTTTCAACACACCCCACACAAACATCAGAAAGCATTATTTTAATCCGCCTAAAGGAATCACTGCAGTCACCAGCGCTTTCATCGCCACACACACACACACACACACACACACACACACACTCGTCATGGCGGGCAAACCCCACTTAACTACTATTCCTGAGAGAGGAGCGCAGCCCCAAAAGCCCCCACAACACGTGCCCAGGCTTCTGTTTCGTGGCCGATGTGTGACATTGCGCTCGAGGGGCCCACGTCCCCGCAATGTGCAGCGG